ATTTAACCTTCTTAGCCAAACATTCCACGCGAAACTCCTGATACGACCTAGAACCAACGTCATCTCGCGATGTTCGCAATTTGTTCCTCAAGAGGATCGAAATTACCTCTCCTACGACATCGTTCGAGTTTTCTTCTCGCGGCTGCAGGAACGTTATCTCATTAATTTCCAAATATTCCCAACCGAGCTTTGAAATATGCGGCGTGCACGTACTCTTTCTCCACGCCTGTTCGTCTATCATCCAAATTGAGTAATAAAACTCGCCTTCTTGAATCTTGATTGCCTAAACCAGTTTAAAAGTTAATCTCTGTAAGTATATCAAGATACGAGACTCGAACCTGCGAACTCGACGATCTTTCCTCTCGTTGCATCTCTACTAACCTTTATCAATGGCTCGTCCTTTCTTCTAGCCTTTTATCAAGTTCCATTCTCGCGTTGGAACGCGACACATATCTTCGTACCCCGGAAATTCTGCAGGCCGAAGCGACAGGTGCCGTCTTCCTGTGAATATTTCGCTCTCTCTAACCCTCCACAGCTCGTCGTCTACGACGTTTCGACGTAATTACGGCCAGACGATGCCGTATTTCTCGCGCTGCGAACGCAAACACTTCTCAGGAAAAAGCTACCCTTCTGTCTCCTCTAAGATGGAGTCGAAGGAGACAATCTCTCGCGACTGTCTCAAGTGATCCGGTGCGAATGAGTGGAAGGACGAGGAAGATTAAAAATGAGAAGGCTAAAAAAGAATTAATAATTTTAAAGGGAAAAATGTGATAAATGAAGATAAATGCGAAGATGAAGAAGAAAATAGTGAAATGGAAAGGACTAAATTTAATAAATTTTGTTTTCTTTTTTTTTTTATTTTAGAATAATCAGTTTAAATTATTGTCGATGCATCATTTTAACGATAGTTTATCACTTCTTTTCAAAATTTTAAATCGATTAATTAGATAACGAGTTATATCTTAACGAGTTATCTTTAGTGATGAAATCAACATTAATAAATATTAACAGATGGAAATTTTCGATTTAGAATAAAATAAAATATTAAGTTATTCGAGTATAAGTTGAAGAAAAAACTGATAAAGATTATGCAAAGCGAAATAACGTTATTGTCATTAGTTAAAAACTCTAAGCGTAACACTTGAAATTGATGTCAAACGGAAGCTGAAGTTGTAGGTAGAAGAAGAGAGAAAGGGAGAAAGGGAAATAGGAAATAAAATACCTCGGTTGCTGCATTAACAACGAGAGAACAGTTCAGAAATCGTGTCAAGTGTTTCAGTATCGTTCCAAGGGAAATGAAATGAATAGTTAAACGGAACGACGAACGACAGTCAACAATGAAACGTGCAATCCAGTCTCTGATATTTCGATGTACGACCTCTCCGATTCCAGTCTTTTTGTTTTGTTTTCTTTCCGTCTATCGCCGCGCGAAACCTTGTTTTCTCAGGAGAACAAGAAATTTTTCAAGATTTCGAGAATCTATCTCGAAACTTAAGAGATGAATGATAAATAACAGCTGAATCTTTGTCTCTATAAAGGAATCAATTGTTAGTTTACAGTTACATACTGATATGATTATATATGATCATAATATCTATCAGATTTCAGATTACAATATTATTCAGATAAAAATTGCCAATCTGATAAAAAAATAAAAATAATAAGGAATATTAATAAAGAAAGCTTTATGATTTTTCTATCTTACCTTATTTCATTATTACTAGATTACAGCAAGTGATACCTACAAAAAATTTATTGTTAGAATATTATTTTCATGTTTTTAAACTTAATTAAT